GTGATGAAGCACAGTGCTGGGAAGGCTCTTTATCAGTCAGTCACACTGGGAAAGCTTCAGTCGCTTCATCTTCATCCCTTCCTCACAAAAGGAGCAATGAGAAGCAATCTCCATCCTCTCAGAGTCATTCAATTGTTCCGACAACTCTTTTTCTAGAGAAACTACTTCCTCTCCCAAGGCCACATCCAGAGGGGCACAGGAGGTAATCTGGGGGAGAGATAAAGCGTGCTATTTGTGTGCTGGTGTTTGCAGCACGAGCGTGTTGGAGATGAGGGAGGAATCAAAGAATTTTTATTGGCCTAATCAGACAAAAATGTTGACGAGGTCCCTTCCGGCGCAGGAGCACTCTCCTGTCGCACAAACAAATTTCTCCAGCGGCCCTGACTGTACGGGCAGCAGATAACATCAGAGCATCTGTCAAGAAGAGAAGATTACTGACTGCTAACGCTCTAAAAGGCCTCGGTCCCCGCAGCGGCTGTGAACATGAGTAAACTAGAGAATATGTTGCAGAAAGACCATCCAGCAGCATTTCTGCAACAACAACAACAACAAAAAGTCACAAACACTATCATCTAGCTGCCAGTGGGAAGAAAGCTCAGCTGTGTCAGGAGCAGGCCGTCCTGTGCTGGCCATGCACTGAAAGGATGAGCCACCAACCTGACAACCTGATCTTAAGTAGTACAAGCTCAGCTTCCACGGCTCTTTCTCACCATCCTATATGGCGATAGCTCCCGAGGCACCCAGAAACGGCATCAATTGTCCAAGGGGACGCAGCTCACAGCTGCCCTTACGGCGCTGTGCACGTCACCACCTTGCAGCAATCAAGTGAAGCTATTAAATATCAAGTACTTCCCATGAAGTTGACGTTTTTAATCCCCGCACTGCCTTCTCTTTTCACACACTGGTGGCTGGGGCCTTTCCCCACTGCGAGGGGCTTTCCCCCCCCTCCCCATTTCTCCAGGCTTATTGCTCCCTCCCACTCGCAGCTGAGAATTAAAAGACATAATAAAGAACTCTTGAACGGGAGGGGGAGCGTCTGGTGGGGGGAAAATAAAAAAATAATAAAAAAAAAAGCAGGTCCCTTGTTTGAGCCCGGGATTCATCTGCCTCTCCCTGCGGAGATAAAGAGGCCCTTTCACCCCAGCAACCAGAAGGTTGAAGCTGGATATGTGCTTACCAGCACGGCCGTGGCTGGGAGCTGCCAGCCTGGGGTCTGACGGCGGTGACATTTCTCCCTCAGATTAGATGGTAACGGTGCAAAAACGCATTAGAGTTGCTGGGGAGACTGCCCCTTCATAAGGCTGCACGCTTGGGAGCGAGCCGCTGTAGCTATGAAACCGGGCCACGGCGTGGCTTCAGCCCCTTTCTGCAGATTAAGGTTAATAAGAGCCTCCCCAGCCTGCCATGCCCACCGCGCTCTCCCAGCAGAGAGCAGACCGGACGGAGGTGGGAGCCCAGCGTCAATAATATCCCCACCGGCGAGCGCGCTGTGCCCCCGCTTTTGTTCTCCGCTTCTGCCCAGTGATTTTCATTACAAATATCCTCTTATCATGCACACATGGGGGGAGAGAATAGGGGAACCGGGCCCACACAAAGAGAAAGAAAAGGCTGCTTGCTAGAAAACCAGTAATTACAGGGCTCGGGCTTTCCCCACGGAGGATTCATATGGATTCGACATGGCAGCGTTTCACACGTACGGCCCCTCCAGGGGCAAGCTCCCGTTTCGATTTCATTATCGGCAAGCTGGGCTGCCAGGGGAACTTTTGCCCCGAAATGAGTTTGCAAAAGGGGACAGTTGCACTTCTTTTATTATTTGCTTTGAAAGCAATTTCACCGCTGCCCCCAGAAGCCTCTGCGTTGGCTTGGGCGCGCGATGGGAGAGCACAAATGCCATGAGTTGGTTTGTCATCGCAGCGCTGCTGCTGCCCCTAAGCACGGGAAATCTTCTATATGATCACCACCTATTTTAGCAAAATATGGAGGTGTTGAATCAACCCTTCAAATGTCTCCTAACCCCACACGTGACTTGCGAAGGCTCTCAAGGTGCTTATAAAGAGACGCAAATTCTCCGTTTCTCCTTTTACAAGGGAGGTAAAACATAACTCGTGTATAAATGGATGCAAGTAAAGCCTTGCAGGACTGAAACTTGACCTTTTTTACTTCCTTGCCACAGGTTGTGTGTGATTTTCTTCAGCTCAAGATGAACGGGTTAGCAGAGCACCCAGAGCTTTGCAGTGCTAGGACATCAGCACAGCTCTGGGTCAGCTTATCAACCCGATTTTACAGCTGGGTGAAACGATGGCTCAAAACAACCAGGACAAGGTCATGCTGGAGGTCTGAGAGAAGAGGAACCCAAACTGCCTCCTCTTTGCTCAAAAAGCTTGTTAGCAACAGACACCTCTCCCAGTCAGTAATGCATCCTTGCATGTTGTACACAAACCTGAAAGGGGACCTGTTTGGGGTAATTTTACACCATTTCTCTGGGGAATGTGTCTTGGGGCCAGTTTTTCACCTTCCTTAGTGCTTTGCCAAGAACTCTGGGACATTTGTAGGACACCTCGCAGTGGCAGAACTGATGACGAGAGCCAGAAAACTCTGTAGGAAAGATGTTTCTGCCATTAGTGCACACGCTTTTAGGCAAGCTATGCCGACCCTTTGTGTTTTTATGATGTGTACAAGACAAGGACCAGCACATTAACCCACTCTGAAATCTCAGAGGTGAGGTACAATCGTTTGATGACAAATACTAAGAAACGTGCTATCAGGGACAGAGCCCCATAGTGTAGGAGTCACTCCTGTCCCTGCAAGCTCACAAACTCAACATCTACCTGCATACTTCTAGGTGCCTGGATCTGTTATTCTTGGGCCAAATGCGAGGAGTGGAGTTGGACTGTAACTTAGGTTTCAGGTAACTCTGATCTGCTACTAAAAATGAGTCCCAGGTTTACACTTCGGCTCCTCGTAAAGACAGGACCATTTGCAAAACTCAGACCCAAGCCCGGCCTTTGGTTTCCAAACATGCTGAATTTTGCTTTGGTTCTGTCTCATAATTCCCATCGTCTTTTCTTTCTCTCCTTATTTACTTGTTAATTTCCTGCACCTCGAGCCCTGCTGAGACCAGCCTCTGCCTACATGGGATTGCTCGCTCCAGCCCTTCCCTCTTCAGGGAAAGGTCAGGAACGGAGGTTTAGTGTGCCGAGAAGAAAGGCAGCAGCAGACAGACAGAGAGCACTCATAAAGATCTGTCTGTGAGCCTCTCTGAGAAAATGTCAGGTTGGGGAGGCTATAATAGCTTTAATCTGCAGTACAAGGGGATTAAAAGACTCGTTCTCACAGGACAAAAGAAAAAGGAGCAGAGCGGAAGGAGCGGAACAAGGAGAGAATGAAGGCTGCAAGGGGAGGAAGGGAGAAAGTTAAAGAGCTCAACTATAAAGAGCATCGGGATTTAAAGAGCTCCGTCTTCTAGCGTAATAAATGTGAAGTGGCCTGCATGCAAAAGGGGCTTTAGCCAATGGCTTTGCTTTTGCTTTTTCACACTAAGCACACACACTCCAGCCTTCTTCAATCAAGGCAACTTGTTATGTTTGGCTTTGTTGATTTTCAGGGGCAAAGGAGGAGGAGGAGGAAACAGAAGGTTAATGAGGCTCTCCCAGATGCGACACTCAAGAGAAGCTGGTGGGCATTATATTTTTTAAACAGTGGTTTATGGTCTTTGATCCTCACCCCTGCTGTCCCTCCTCCAGCACGTCCCTCAAACCCCCCTTGTCCTCGAGGGCCGTGGAAGAGCAAAGGGGCCTGGGAACAGGAAGGAAGTACATGGAATTGCAGGACACTCTCCTCAAGTACTGCTTGAGCGACCTTTTCAGCCGCTCAGCAAGGCCAGGAGATGAAGAGAGAGTAATTGAAAAGGGTAAGGAAAGAAGGCAACTTTAAATACTTTTCGAAGGGGAAAAAACCCAATGCTTCAATTGCAGGAGATGCAAGGGCCAGCCAGCCACCAACATGGACAAGCAAGCTGCACTCCAAAAGGGAAACCAGGGACTCAAAGGCAGCTTTTAGCATCGCTCAAGTACTGCAGGAAATGGTTTCTTAGGGCTGGATGCTAACCTCAAATCAAGGCAGGACTGCTCCACTAGATTAGCAAGGAGGTTTGGATGTGTTTATATTAAGACACTGCCAATACTCTCCTCGAAGACAAGAGGATGCTACCCCAACCTGAAAGGAACAACATACTTTAGTCTTCAAAATCTTTGGAGAAATGGCAGCGGGAAGGTAAGCCAAGCACACAAGAGTGCTGAATTTCCTCCCATTGCCTAAGGCACTCACATGCCTGAAGCACTCTGAGAAGAGAGGAAGTGGGCTTCTAGCAGTCCACTGTGTTAAACACGACTGCAACACTTGCTCTGATCTTTCATGACACCCATCTTCCCAGCTTAGCAGGCTTACAAGTCAGGAGAGATGCTCCAGGACACCACCAGGCACACTCAAAGGTCTAAGGCAGGTTCTCTTGACTATTTTAGCGGCTCAGCATAGTGCTGGGGGCTGGCTAGTGCTCTATGCACAAGTTGTACACGGAGGGAAAAAAAATAAAAAGATATTGTAACATAATAAGCAAATTCCAGACAGGAATTAGAGTATAGCATATCCAGTGGAGACAGGGGGCTGGAGTGGCATTAAGGTAGGAAGAATATAATTACCTGAACTGGACTGTGGCCAGGATAATGGTATTAATTTATTTCAAGCAAGCCAGAAGTGCCAAAACCTGGATTTTACATTTAAATCTAGAAGATGGCAAATCACAGCATCTCGATTCCATTCTTCCAGCGTTCGGCTGGAAGGAAAGATCTCCTGAGGGGTTCACACCCTTAACACCTACTGCCTGTGGCCATCATGGGAGAGCTCACCCTCAGCTCCCTTTGGGAAGCCCTGTGGATGCTCTGCTACAAGGCAGATCACCAAAGCCACGCCTGCACTTTGCAGTACAAAAAACCCATCATCCCGCTCCCCATAACTCACTCACAGGCAATAAAGCCACACTCAGTCACAAATCTAGTCACAAGCTCTCTTGAGCGCAGCCCCTAGTTCGATCTGGTATTAATTATCCACTGTTCTGCAGAGATAAATGCTTAATCCTCTGGCTGTTGACCCTGGAAATGGACCAATCTACCCTGGGGTGGATATTATACAGGGGAACTTGGCTTCAGCTATGATCCCTGCATCATGTGCTGTACAAATGTTTGCTGGCTTGTAGGTAATGGATTTCATAGGGTGTATGGGATCTTTCCATGGCAGAGCTAATCCAGAATAATACATGACTCAAACATTCATTGTATCAGGTTTTTCTTCCTCCCTCTATTTTTTTTTTCTTTGACGTAATATTTCAAATTTCATGTGGAATTTCTTAATTTTCAGACATTCTCTATTTCCTTACAGCTTACCAGCCTTTCTCCTCCAGGACCGATATCGAGGTGAACTTCCTAAGCAGCAGTGCCCAAGGGATGTGGAGATGGGTCTGCACAACCCCTGCTTCTCTCGCTTTCACTTTCTTCCAGAAGAAAGGCCAAAGATCCCCATATTGCTTCTCTGGTTTCACACTCACTGGAAAGCCTAAACCGAGAAGTTTCCTTGTCAGGAAGAAAGACGCAAAGCTGATGTTCCCACAGATGGGAAAACTGTTCCTATTTCTGACCAAGCTGCTAAGAACTTTGGTCTTTCCCATGTCTGAGCAGTCCCATTAATGCCACCGTGGGCCAGAAGGACCCACTGCCACCAGCCAGGTGTTTCAGGACACCCAGGGAGATGCCTGCTTCCCCCTTCCCACTCCTACCTGGGCTTTCTTGCCTCTCCCCTACTTGCTCTTCCCTTCCCAAGGGCTGACTTACAGGCAGCTCCTGGCAAAGGTGAATTTTAAACCCAAGCACAGAAACAAGTTTGACACAGAATATTATTGTACATGGAGTCAGAACAGAAGTCACAAGTGCTTGGGAGCAGCGTTTTGCTCCCCATTTAACAAAACAGGTTTCAAGACAGCACTTTTCTACACTGACTGGAGTAGCTGCACCCACAAATAGCTGATACAAAGGTTTGAATACAGCAAATACAACAGGGAGTCAGTGTGCACTGGCACTCTTCTTCCCTGAAAAAACAATTAAAAAACTAGCTCTGGTTCAACACAACTGTTTAGCTTACGGTGGTGCCTCGAGGCTCTGTACCACTGCACACATGTGTTGTACACACACACACACACACACACACGAGCAGCCCCTGCTTGCAGTCTAACTAGCCAGCACTGGGGGAAACTGAGGCAGGGGGAGATGAAACGCTTTCCTCAGTGCAGTCAGGAAGCGACGGGCTGGAAGCAGATTCCATCTATCCAGTAGGACCTCGAGAGCTGAGCACCCACCTGAAGCATGTACTGCCTTGTAGCTAATATGATAGAATCCTGCAGCTTCTTCTTGAGATCAAATCTGGCTGCTGTTACCACCCTCCCTTTAGAAATAGGTGGCTAGAGCCTTCTGCACGAATTCCTGCAGAGAAAGGGAGCTTGCTGAGAGCATGACACACACAGAGCTAGTTAAAGTTTTTTTGTTGGCTTTGTTTGCTGTACCAAAGCAGTATTTCTAGTCTTAGTCCAATGGAAATAAACTCTCAGCCCACCTGAATGCAGAAGTTTGCCTTTGCCACCGTCATGCTTAGTTTAATCTGAAAATTACAGTGAGGCAAAGAACTTGGGATAGAAAAAAGCTGAGCTTTTTATTGGATTTTGTATTCCTTAACAACGAGATACAGAGAGGGGCTACTTGTTCCTATGCTGTTCCTGGGCAGCTTCACCTCAGCTGTGAGAATGGACTAAGAACTAGGAAGGAGAGAATGGGAGTTTGAAGCCCAGCCAGTAAGAGCATGAGAAAGGGCTCTGGCAACCCTGGTTTCTGTTTTCCTCACTCTAAGAAAAGAAAAGGGGTTGTGGAGATTAAAACAAAGATCTTGCAATCCTAACTCCCGGGGTCTGCTCCCAACTCCGCCACTGACTTCAGAGCACATGTGAGTAAACCTACTTCATCACTCTCTGCCCCAGTGCCTCCCACATAAACTCGGAGAAGATGTTGCTGCTTCGCCACGTGAGCGAGTCTGCACAGCGCAGGCTGCGGGGCCCCTGGGTGAAAGGTGCAGATCAAGCAGTTGTCTGGTACAACCCCAAATCAGGGTTGCGCCATCCCAGCGAAGCGCCAGCTCTCAAGTTATGCTCCTCGGAGCCCGCCAGCAGAAATCGCAAATTACTTCCATCAGGAGGACTGAATACTGAGTCATTTGCATAATGCCAGAGGTCAGGGTTAAGGGCAGGGATGCTCGGGCTTCCTGGCAAAGGAGAAACGTAAGCTCGTCCTTCCAACGTCACATCCAGTGTCTGTAAGGACTGTGCTAGACCTCTGCCCTCACGTGGAGCTGGCAGCATGTATTTTTCAGTCCATCTCTGAAGGATCCTTTTCAACACTCTCTTAATGACATCCCTAATCAATGACAGACTCCAATCTTGTGCTCCAAACCCATAAAATTAATAAGGAAGCGATAGCAAGCGCACGTACCAAGAGCATGTGGGAACCCACCGAACACAACAGGGCTATGCTGCACCAACCCTGGCTGATGGCTCCTTCTGCTCCTCAAGGCAAGAGATGTAGTAAATGGAAGTAGTACGAAAAAGAAGGGAAACAGGAGCCTGGCAGTGAGACAGGGGGAAGCGGCTGCTTCAAGCAGATATTGTGCTTAAGGACATATGGGAGTCCTGCTTCCCAACCTGCTGCTTGGCCTTTTGGGATTATCCCACCTGGAGCATTCTCCAATGCTTTGCCTAACCTACTCTTAAGCTACTTAATGCACCTGCTCCCTCCTTTTCCAAGCAGGTGGTAAGTCTGCCATCTCAAAAGCATCACGGCTGAGAAATGGCTCTGGTAAGCGACGCAAAACCTCTTTGCTTCATTACATTGGATTCTGCCTCATCTCAGGATGCCCTTAGAGCTCCCTAAAAATACACTTGCTGACAGCAAGCTAATCCTTCCCTGTATTTTTCACACAATACACGCACACAAACAGAAACATGAAGAAGCACACAAGAAGCTGTGCGTCCATTATTAAGCAGCTGGAAAGAGCAGAGTCTGCTTTCAGCAGTACGCACGCTGGAGTTACACGGCCTTCTCTCCACACATGCCAGTATCCAGCAGAGAGTATCCAACTCCAAGAAGCAGCAGGCCATACGAAATGCACCATTTGGTACTGCAACATGGACGCTAGCTGGGACCCTGCACGATTCCCTCTTGCGAGGTCTCCTCTTCGAAGCACTTTAATGTGTAGACAACGCCAGGAGCAGTATCGCCTTGATCAGCAAAGCCCAGTGCTGGCCAGTTCATATTTCTCCCAGGAAATACACCAAAACAGGGCACTGAACTGGTGTGCTAGTGCATATTCTCCATGTCCATATCCTCCATGTCCATTTTCCCCCATCACAAACCTGTCAGCTGGGCAGCCCAAGCTTGCAAATCCACACAAGTCTTGGATAACCTGGAAAAGCAGCTGCCAAATCGATATGCCATTCTGTGCTGAGTGGCACTGGGCATCGTGACCTGACAAGCTTTCGAGAGCCCTCTGCACATAGCTGTTGCAAGAGCAGGCAGAGCAAACCAAAGCATGGTGACAACAGAGCTAAGGACGTGCTTTCATGCCTGTCACCATGGTCTAACCCGCTGGCTGTCCATGACACGTGGCTGGTGTTCCTCTTCCAGAGCTTGCTGTGACAAGCACTTTTCTGTGGGAGCTGATTTACTTGCCCTGTGTCACACGTGGGTCAGTTCCTTTCCTCCAGTGCCTTTCAGGTGACAGTGTCTGGGACTAAAACGTGACTCAGCAGGCAAAATACATGGTAATCCTAAAGTCCAGCTAAGCTACCACTCCTCTTTAGTCTGGGGACAATTCTCTTTTCCAGGACCACAGTCTATCCTACTTGCATCCTGCTGCTCGGGCACCAAAAAACGCCACAACAAGACCAAGTCAGAGCAGTGGCAGCGTGAAGCAGCTTATCCTCGTCCCTAAAAATGACAGCAGGTTTGATTTCTGCCCTGCTTTTGACCTCGCAGTTAGGTGGGATGATCCCTGATGCTGACTTCAGGGCTATCCCCACATCTCCGTGCTCTGTTCTCTCCCTGTTTTTCTTCTGGTAAAATGGATGGTGCGGCGTAGGCACAGAGCAAGCTGCTTAAAGAGCAGGGACAGCATTTGGTCCTCCCTTCACCTGTCCTGGAGAAACATCTACCCACAAGACACCGTTGCACCAAGTCTCTGCATGCCAGTGCCAGGTGGGGCCTGAGGCCACAAAAGCAAATCTGTGCTGTCTGCCTTTAGATGCTAAAGATGGTCAGAAACATGGGGCAAGACAGCGGGGGTTGTGGGCAGCCTGCATATCCTTCTCCAGCTGTCCAGCTCAGCAGAGGCCTGGCATCTTCATTCCAGGCTCTCCATCAGGTCAGCAACGGAACAGGCGCTACACAGCAGAAAAGCATCTTCAGCCCCTGACACTGGGTTTAATCCGTCACCCAGCCAAAACAGAGAAGCCTGGAAGCAGCCTCATTTAGCACTGGTTGGAAAAATTCTTTACAAGAAGCTCTCAGACATGTTCAGTAAACACTGAAAATCAAATCATCCCATGCCTGTGGCTGCTTCTCTCCTCCACCGCTGGCTACCCCAGCCCTGGTTAATGTGCCGCAACGCCTGCTCTGTCCAGGCCACTAGACGCAGATGGCGCGACAGCTGCAGTCCCGAGCTCATCGCTGGAGCCCTTCAGCACCAAGAACTCCAGCAGAATGTCCAAGAGGCAGAAAACCAGGTGCCTGAAATGGAGAGAAGACAAAGCTTAGGCTGGTCAGGGCACAGCGGAGCTGGGAGATCAGTTCCAGACATGCAGAAGCCAAAGCTCACACAAAGAAAAAGGATTCTGACTGCCCTCAAAAAAAAGATCTCGTACCCTAGAAGAAATGTTTTAAGGGATGGTTCAGGTTTTTTTCCACCCCCCAAACCAGTGGGTGTTTGAAGCTGCTGACCAGCACAGAAAACACAAATGTATCTCCTGGAATGAGGTGGCACATGCATTTCTCTGCAGTTAATCACAAAAACGTTGCCTTCCAAATGCACAGCAATGGTTGTACAGAAAAACACTGGCTATATGCAGCTCCCTGAGCTCTTCTAAAAACAACAAACTAAGCCAGGATTTGTCTTATTTCTGCTGACAGTCCCCTGACATTCACAATCTAAGCAGGCCCAACAACATAATTAACAAGACTGGTTCAATAATCTCCAGCCAGACCGAGGTCCTAGACGTGCACCTTCATAATAAGCAAGCCAGATGCCCTGTGATAGTATAACTCCAGGATAATTATCCAGATATGTTCTGTGCCAAGAAACTGGCAGTGTGAATCTCACAGCGAAGCCCTGAGAGTAGCTTATAGACCCCACTGCAAAGGCTACTGGGGTAAAGAGACTATAATCCATGTACCTGTTTATCACAGGCTGGGCCAGGGACTCCAGTACCAGGTTCCAGCTCATCCGACATTTACTGGTTCCAAGGATTTCTTGGACCACATCTGTCAAGGTCAGAGACAAAGCTTTAGGAACTGCACATTTCCACGGTAGTAAAACAGGGCCAGGCTGCTGCTGGTGGGTACTAAATCAAAGTTTGTGATGGGGCTCTGAGCCTGAGGCACCTCGTGCCCAACATTACCATGACAGAAAACAGCCAGGGACAGGACTAAATGCCAGAAAAGCATTCCAGGCTGGAAGGGCACAGACTGGTAGAACTTCTGCATCCCCAAAGGATAGTAAAGGCCACTTACACTGCAGCAAGGAGTTAAAAGTTCACACTGCACTCACACGGATTAGGCAGCAGCAGCTTTAATGCCAAAGGTCCCTGTGTCAAACTTCAAGAGAGGGAAATCCAGTGCAGCTGGGCTTATGATTGCAGCCCGGTGGAAAAGCCACAGGCTTTGCTTTATGGCTCTTCTCAGCAATGGCACCCTCTGGCAGCAGCTGGGAGCACGGCATGGCACTGGCTTTCCTAAGCTCTACCTTGTTGAAACTGGCTCAGCAGGAACTGCACCACCAGCACTAAGCACAGAGTACGTGGCCCTCTGTGTCTGGGAATCACCAAGATGTGTGGCCTTTCTCCCTGAGCTGTGCTGCTCCCCAAATGCTTATGCAAACTATCTAGAACTGGGAAATGTGGGGTTTTTTTTGCTTGCAGGAAACCATTCAAATCTCAAAGGTCAGGAACGTTTCTCAGTGCCTTGGCACAGGCAGGCTCCATCTCTGGGTTTAACCACATTTCCAGAGATGCCAACGACCTGGAGGGTTCCTCAGCCTCCCCCCACCACTGGTCCTTTCTGAAGGAGCTGACACATCTCTGGGGCATACTTACTAGGCAAGATCCCCATCAGGCTCTGCAGGGCCTGCTCTGCTGCTGCTTTCTTCTGTTCCTCTGTCCTGGCTGGTTTAGGCACTGCTGGTAAAACTCCTCCAGGCCAGATGGATTCCTGTAACAACTGGAGGTATTGGACCCAACGCTGGGTGCAGGTCAGGTTAACCACCTGGACTTCCAGCCACCTGTGAGCACAGGGAGAGAGAAAGGTCAGGAAAAGTCAGGCTTGGTACCAAATCACGAACTTTCCACCAACCAGAGGCCCTGGAGAGAGAAATCAGCTTGCTGGGTGAATTATGCAGTTCCCAAGTCTGTACGTTAAACACTTTCACAAGTATTAATTAGCTGAGATTCCCCGTACACCAGAAGTATGTAAATGTCCCCCCACCTTATAGAGAGAGACACTAACGCAAAGTCACGGTGGAAAAGCAAAAGCCATGAGAAGCTCCATTGCCCCACTGCCCACAGGAAACCAGTTGAGTAACTGGTCCCTAAAGGGAGCACAGCTAAGGGATATGACTGGCCTTAAACTCTTAAGTTATGTCCACACACAAGATGAGAGAGATGAGAAAGAGCTGGGAGAACCCCCAAAATTGCTGTTTTAACTCTAAAACAAGCCTGTGACTGACTGGAAGGACACGAGGGTGGTCTGGTAACCAGTTCTCCTCTCATCAGTCCCTCTGCTACCGAAAGAGTCAAGAGTGTCTCGCCTGCAGACCCAAGCACACGCTCCCAGGATGGCAAGGCACAACTATCCTGCTGCTTCACACTCCTCTCATCCCCCCGCTTCCCTGCTGTCCAGCCCTGCTCCATCCACTGGTGGCAGGCAATGAAATCATCACTGCTCCCATCCAAAACTCCGCGCTGCACGTCTATTAAAAGGCAAGTTAGATACCTGCCAAACAAAACTGCCGGTCAGCCCTCCCGCTGGGCCAAAACCGTGCCCTTTACACGGTAACAACCTGCAAATCCTGAGGCCGAGGGAACGCTGCTCCACATTAGGGCTCAGAGGCGTCTGCAGCTTGCCCAGGGGGAGATGTGTCTGCACCACCCAAGCGCTGGCCAGGGAAAGTTTCTAAATCAATCAGGGGGACCCTCTTTCCCAGGCATGAAATCACTTCCCCGTGTAATAGCAAAAGCCACAGCTGTCAGTCAAAACTCGCCACTGCTTAAAATCTTTCACCCCAGAATAAGGAGAGGCCAAATCCCTGACACCACAGGGGCCAACAGGAGGGTCCCCAGTGACTGAACAAGACTGGGACTCGGTGGCCCCGCTGCCGCCGTCCTCATCAGCGCGAGGGCCCGGAGCAAAGAGGGAGCATCAGCACGGGGTTGGGTAGGGAGAAGACTTGTGATTTTGCCAGTACTTCAAGAGTCCCAGAGGAGAAGAGTCCACAAGCAGGGCCAGGAGACCCGTTCCTCTTGGCAGCTGGTGTTCGTGCTTGCAATTCCGTCACCACTACGCCCCGGCAGCTCATAGTACATCCAAGAGCTTGGGCCCTGCCAAGGCAAACTTTATTTAACCTGCGCTCTGCCAGACTGTCTGCATTCTTCTCAGGCGAGGCATTCGGGCCAAGGGCGTCTTTCCCCATGCAACACGAGCGGAGAGCTGGGAATAGCAACACCTAAAGGTAACCAGGGGCAAAGGAACAGCAGGTAGACAACACCACGACCAGGGCTGCCACACGATGCTCCCTTCTTCAGCACAAAATGAGGTGTCTAGCTGCAGGTCATGAAGGATGCACACCTAGGAAATGTCAACTGCAAAAGCAAAGGCCATTAAAAAACCTGAGAATGAAGCCTTGGTACAGCTGTAAGGCCTGTTATGTCTCAGAGCACAGGTAGCGCTCCTGCGGATCCCAGAACGGCACTGGAAATGGGGAAGCAGCCTTTATGGTCAGCCTTGCCAGGGACCCCGAGTACTGGTGTTGCTACAAGATAGTGCCAGAGATCCAAAGTGTAGCTTCTACCTGTCTTAGAGGACAAAATGTCACAGCACAGTCTTGCCTGGGAAAAGGCCATGTTTGAAATACACCTGCTTAAAAGGGTTTTTATCTCCAGCTATCAGTAGAGTTTAACAACCTGGATTATGTTAAACCCTCCAGACATCCCCAACCAAATTAAAGTGTTAAACTGTGGCTCCTCTAGGGGTAAGAGCCTTCATTAACATGTTTTTTCATTAATGTGTTTTCTTATGCAACCTGCTTTCCTAAATGAGAAAACATTTGACAAGCAACAGAAGTGCAGAGACTTGGGGACAGAGATGCAAACAGCACAACCCCGCATCTAGGGAGATCAGACTGAATGTTAACTTGAAGTTCATTTCAGCAACAGCCACTTACCATCCTTTAAAAGCTTGCAGAAAGCAAAGAATAAGTTTTCCTTTTCTTAGGAATGTTCCTAAAATAGCAAAAAAACCCCAAATCAAGCAAATAGTGAGCAGAGTGAAAGCTGAATTTAAGAGAATACAGCACATGTTTCCAGACAGCTGACCAAGAACTGACGAATGCTGGAAGGCCCCGTACAAACAACCTATCATTTCTATCTCATTTATTTCCATAAAGCCACCAGAACTAGGCAAGGAGGCCTAGAGGTAACACCTATAAATCTGATCACACGTGCACGCGCCGCAATTATGCAAGTGCTTACGGGTCTTAGTTCCCACAGTTGCAAAACGCCACTGATGGATTGTTCACTCTGCCTGGCAGCTCGCTGCCTTCCACTTCGGGAAGCAAAGGGCAGGATCGGAGAATGGCTCCGTTGGTTTTGCCCCACCTGTGCCACAGAAGCTCCTAAGAAGATGACAATTTGCCCGATCGCATGGTGCTCAGATGGCAGGATGCTCACTGCTAGGAAAGGGGGAAGAGGCACCACAAAGTAGACAAAAAGAAAAAACTAGACAGGAAAGGGGATGAGAAAGAAGAAGGAGAAACCAAAGCGGGGTAAAAACAGTAGGAAGACTAAAATCACTGTGCTCTGGGTTCCCTTTTGTCCGTCTGTCAGTGCGTGGCCCCATCCCAAAAGCACTGGGAAGAGAGGAACTGTCAAGACTGGTCCATCTGGCTCAGCATCCTCCCTGGGAGAGCAGCTGATGCTCTCAGACACTTCAAAGGAAAATATCAAAACAGAGTAACCTGCCACAAAGAGTTTTCCTCCCTCCTCTCAACCCGCACGTGTTAAACTCGCCGCCAACACCTGCTCTGGGGGATGCACGCCACGTTTACACAACACACACAGGGGCACACATGAGCAACAGTTATTAAATGGCGAGGAGCAAAACCTCAGCTCTCACAAATGCACCTGCAACTCAGGGAGGGTCACACCAAGCTTTGCTGAAGAATCCCACCTGAGTAAACCCAGATTTCTAGGGCAAATTGACCTTTCCATCAGGCAGACTTGCTGCCCCAGGATCAGGAATAACACCTCACACTTCTTACACAGGAACTCCATATACGTGCTGGTCCAAAGCTGACCTTCACCAGCAGATCACAGATGATTTGTCGTACTATTAAAGGACCAAGCATTTGAGATCCATATGCCACATCGAAAGCACACACACGCCTGCTCCCAGGTAGAAATAAATCCAGCAAGAAACACAAATAGACCTAACTTTCCTTTTTTTGGATGGCTGATGAGTTACTATTTCCATTCTGCTATTTCATGAAGAAATAGCCTTAATAAGAAAGAAAGAAAAACAAACCCATCACCAAACCATCTCCTTACACTTCAGCTGAGACCAGAAATAGATAGAAAGTGACCTCCTGGGCTCAGACGTTCAAATGCTTTGATAATGCCCAATGCAGAGAGACAGACTGCAAAGGCTACTGAGTCCTGGACATTAGTCTGGAGGTGCATAATTTGCCCATGCTGTAAGGGTCCTCTGTTTGAAATAGCTGCTGATGAAGGAATGAAATGGCTGCTAAAAAAGAGCCAATTTAATGCCATGGCTTAAGCTGGAACTCCAAGGTCAGCTGAAGGGGCCCATTAAGATAGGAACGACAGAAATGCCCTGGGAATGAGAAACAAGGCCTGGGGGGTACATACCTTGGCCCTCCTCCGGCACCTAGAAGCAACAAGGGCTGCTCAGAACAGCAGCCTACAGTAAATACAAGACTATGAGTCTGCAACAGGCAAAACACAGTGTACAGACTTGGTGTTACCTGGCTCCTGAGAGCTGGATGCACTCGCTTAAGTGGCCTACCCAGAGGGTTCACCTGCAGATAGAGAGAGCTCAGCTCAGCTAGTAAAGGTTGGACAGGTTGGATTTGCTTAGTCTGGAAAACAAAGATGGACCAGGAATAGGACAAAAAGATATGGTACACTCAAACAGCTGCTAGAAGCTGGTAAACCTCTGCTCATCCATCAAGGTTAGGGCAAGAACTGATAAGTTCACTCGAGCTGAGGAAAGGTTAAGTTAAATAAGCCAATTGTAATTAAAATCTGAAGCAATAGCAGTGTAATTCCCCCAGAACTGGGGATTTTAAGGATTTAGACAAACACAAACTGGAAGCCATGTTAGGAAGATGACAAAGATGAGAAAGCCCCTATTAGTCTGCTTTAGCTGCATAAATACAAATAGCTCTGTAAATATACAAGAGCTGTGCATAACAGTAGCAAGTCCAGCTCAACATCTACTACTTTCCACCCCAGAACAAGGCCTCCATTTCCCTGAGGTCAGTTAACACAGCATGGCTAACCAGAAGCTCAAAAAAGGCCCGTGAGACCAAGGTAGTGAAAAAGATTTAAGAAAAAGGCAACATCTGGAAACACAGCACAAGGCATTCAAGCATCTGACTTACGAAATCAAGACAGGCTGGTACTTAAATCAACGGGCCATCCCTCCCTTCACAGTCCTCGTCCCCCAAATTCCTCCCCAAATCGTGCCTCAAACCACAAGAATATCCTTAACTCAAGGGCTCTGAAAGAGCAACATTTCAATGCCTTGACTGTAAACCATTTCTGAGTAAGGCTTGTAAAACCGAAGAAACAGCTGCAGTGGGCACAGTTAGAAGAATGGAAAAACACAAACTGAGAGCTTTCAGCCCCAGGCTCGGCTTTTAGCACCTGCTACTTGAGCCCAGGTCCACCTTCTTGGCACAGCCACCAGAAGAAACACGTGCAGCCGACTGCTGGCACACTCAGCTTAAAAACACCTTCAAAGCAAACCCACACTTGTCCCGGCCAT